TCCACCACTGCCTTGCACAGTTTGGTCAAACTCATGCTGGTAGCTTCGAGAACACTGTCCAACCATCTCGTCCTCTGTCGTCCCCTTCTCCTTGTGCCCTCCATCTTTCCCAACATCAGGGTCTTTTCCAGGGAGTCTTCTCTTCTCATGAGGTGGCCAAAGTACTGGAGCCTCAGCTTCAGGATCTGTCCTTCCAGTGAGCACCCAGGGCTGATTTCCTTCAGAATGGATAGGTTTGATCTTCCTGCAGTCCATGGGACTCTCAAGAGTATCCTCCAGCACCATAATTCAAAAGCATCAATTCTTCGGCCTTCTTTATGGTCCAGCTCTCACTTCCATATATCACTACTGGGAAAACCATAGCTTTTCCTGTTGATGATGTTCTTTCATTATGGACCCTTTTGGATAGCCAGTATCTACTTAATCTTTCATATAGGGTTATTAAATTAGCATCAGGATAAGTTCTAGGAAGCCATACAGTTTAGGGCAGTACAGACTACCCGAAGAATGATGTTAACAGGCTTCCATATATAGTTGATGGCATTAGAGTTGAAATAATTTTTCTGCCATGGCATATTAGGAGTCATCTTCCAAGAGTCTGAAGAGAAAAGATCCGATCCTGTGGACTGTTATCCACTGCTTGTATTCACAGTGGAGTCCTTTCTGTCTGCAACAAGCAAGACAACAAGTTCAGTCTTTATTAGACAGCTGGACAATGGTTACACATTTGTCTGCAAAAATCCCACTCCATTTAAAACTCAATGGGAGTTCTGCTGTTAGGTAGAGGGCATGCACTACAAAGCTTGTCTGTACAATTTGAGTTTATTTTTTATATTTAATTGAAATGGCGCCTCCTGTCCCAACTGTATCATGCTCCCCTTTCTAGAATTTAGCACAGGCACCATTATAGGCAGAACACCCTGTTTTTAAAAGTGCTCCCCCCCTTTGCTTTTCAACAAAGAGGGATGCCAAAGTAAAAAGCCACATTTTAATATATAGTTTGCTTACAGAATGCTGGGCTCCCCGAGTTGTCTAGCTCTTTTAAGTATATTTCATCTTGAAAGTTCTGAGAAAAACATATTTGAAAAACATTTCTGAACTGAGAAAACAGCACCGCAAGGGTTGTTGCTAGAGGCTGATTTCCACAAAGAAGTCAATCTGGAGGATTTCATCTCTGTTAGGATTTCTAAAATCTGCCTCGAAATTCTGCATCAAGATGAAAGCGAGAGAGATGATGGCAGGAAGGCTCAGCCCTGGAGATGTAATCTGTTTCTGAACATTTTGAAGACACAGGGTTGTTTCCCCCAGGGGGGTTGGGAGAAAATAGAAATTCAGTAGTGTTTGATTATCAATACCCATCTTGCCTATACATCCTTTAGGCTCAGAAACAACACATAAAATGGACTCGCTGTGACATTACATTCTTTTCTGTAGCTACACTGTAGAGCAAAACTAGATGCCCCTAAATGTATTCTTTATTCTGGCTATAGTTTATCAACATCTCTGATCAGGGATCTTCTTTTTTTTGTTCTAGCCCCTTTCAGGTGGTTGCCATTGCCATTCATGGTGAGTTTTGGTACTTCTTTTTCTAGAAGAATAGTACTGCCTCTGCAAATGGAGGTAGAACATAGCCATCATGACTAGTAGCCATTGCCTTGTGTCCTTCATGAATTGGCCTTGTTCTCTTTTAAAGCCATTCAAGTTGGTGCCAGGGAGTTCCATAGTTTAACTAAGCTGCAGCTCTGAACCCACTTCCTTGGAAGTAAGCTTCATTGACCTCACCGTGGGACTTACCGTATTTTTCGCCCTATAGGACGCACTTTTCCCCCTCCAAAAATGAAGGGGAAATGTGTGTGCGTCCTATGGGGCGAATGCAGGCTTTCGCTGAAGCCTGGAGAGGGAGAGAGGTCGGTGCGCACCAACCCCTCTCGCTCTCCAGGCTTCAGGAAGCTATCCGCAAGCCTTGCAAGCCCGGCGGGAGGTCCCGCGGGCTCGCAAGGCTTGCGGGCAGCAGCCTGCAGCCCACAAGCTCGGGGGATAGTGGGGAGGCAGAGCGCCGCCACCCTGCTATTCCCCGACCTGATCTGAAGGCTGGCAGGGGGGGAGAAGCAAGCTTGCTTCTCCCCCCCCCGCCAGCCCCACAAGCTCGAGGGATAGCGGGCAGGCGGAGCGCTGCCACCCCGCTATTCCCGGACCTTCTCCCCATCGCCAGCCCCATAAGCTCGGGGGACAGCGGGGCAAGCCGCTGCCCCACGGAGGCTAGAGAGGCTGTCCCTGAAGGCAGAAGAGGGAGACAGAGCGCTCCGTCTTCCTCTTCTAGCTTGGGGATGGCTGCGCAAAGCCTCTGCAGGGCAGCGGAGTGCGCTGCCCCACAGAGGCTAGGGAGGCTGTCCCTGAAGGCAGAAGAGGGAGACGGTACATAGGATGCACTGTAAGATACCCATACTGCAGAATATTTTTGAAGCTTAAACCTATATGGGAGAGGGAAAACGCTACCAAACCTACTCCCACTACAAATGGCTTTTCCTTTTCCTTTTTGCTTCATATCCTCCTTTCCTGGTGAGCAGCTTGCTTGCTTAATGTGCCTAGTTTATCTCCTTTTTTCATGCTGTAGAGTATGTAAATTTTATCCAGCATAATAACATATAGATACTATATGTAAGACTGAAATCTGTGATCCTGGCATGTGGGGATTTCTTTCTGTGCGCGCACACTCCATAATTAACATAGTTTATGGCTTTTTCGAGGCTAGTTTCCTGGACAGTTGTGGTCACAATTGTTCACTGTGTCAGTTTTGGAAAGCACATATAATTTCTCTTGTCCTTTTGCCTAACAATAAATAATAATAATCATTAAAAATAACAATAAAAATAGTTTTAAAAGAGGGCTTTAAAAAGTCTGCTTGTGACTGCATAGAGTGCCAGGTTTTAATTACAGTTGGCATTTCTGAGTGTATTGCTGGCAGTGGAGACAATCTTACTGAAAAAAGGCATAAATTTTGACACTGGCAATATGGGATCTCAGCATAAGAGACTGTAAGCCGAGTACTGTTCTGCTTTAATGTACTGATTAAAATATTCAGTGTTAAGTGCAAAACTGTGCTAATCTCAGGCTTGAATTGTGTAATGATTTGGATTGTTACAAAGCAGCATATGTAATAGCTTCAAATAAGCATTTTTAAGGGGAGGAAAAATAGGATGCTGCATTGCAAGAAATATGGTTGGCATCTACCAGGTTTTCCATTAAGTTCCAGGTCACAGACAAATAAAGGAAGCATGTTAGGGGAGGAGGGGGAAAACCCTTTTAAAAAATAATTAGGGAGATGTCTGTTTTGTTCACCAGATGGAAAAGCAGTACTTGTGGGTGGTCTGTGCTGGATGGGGCATCTCACAATTGGCACAACTATGCCTTTAACTTTTAAAGTCCTGGGACAAAATGGAAAAGTAATTGACTGTTGAAAATGCTCCCTTTCTGGATTCATATCAACCCTATTACATGTGAAGGTTTGGTGAGTTTCTGCCATTTCTTATATGAACACACCGGCTTTTAAAACTTATTTTATTCACGCCTGGCTTTTCGTTTTTGGTAGTGATTAGGAGGCACTTTCGTCGCAGAGTTTGGGGTGCATGTTTTTATAAATGGAACACACACACCAGCTATACCTGAAGCCGCTCCGCTGTTCGTTTTACTTGTGGTTTTCATATTTTCAGCCTTCTCAGTGTCGAGAGCATTTTGCAACTCATTGGTTAACATTTCTAAAAGGTGTTTCCACGAAAACCGACTTCATTAGCATTTCTGAGGACACAGCTTGTCTTTTATTTGTATGATCAGTAAAACAATAAAAGCATTGCAATAGAAGAGTAAAAGCGATTGAACTTTTAAAAGTTCACGCTATTTTTGTGTGTTGATGATTATTTTTAGAATACATGTAGAGATTTTTAGTAGCTTTCAAAATGTGTTTTTATATTAGATGCACTTAGTTAACAGTTTTTATTTCGCATGCAGTTGTGATTTTTCAGTAAACATTACAAAGTTTCTTCCAATTAAATGGTTGATGCGCAAGCGGTATGCTCAGTCCCACTGATAAGAGTCTACCATCTTTAAATGTTGTAAGAGCAGAATCCGAAGTATACTAATCTACAAGTAAGTCCCAATGCACACAGTGGCACTTGCATCTTGGTAGACGTGCAAAAAAGGATTGTTCTGCAGAGTTGCATGTTTGCACATACTTAAGATGACTTAACTCCTGTCAAAATCAGGGAGATTTAAGCAGCCTTCAGCCAGAATTGCTGTCTGAACAAATAACTAAATAAATAATGAAAGGGTGTAGGGATGACCAGTTTCTTATATACAAGGGACTGTTAATTGGAGGCAGAGCATAAGAAAACCAGCAGAATAAAAGGAAAAGGAATCCTCATAGTTCTGATTTTAGATCAAGGGTAACGTTAACCAGTATGGGGCTGTCACTCACCCCAGTGCCTGTTTCCGTGTGCAGTGGAGGCAGACTAAAGAAAGTGGAGTTGGCTCCATTGCAGTGGATGGTTTAGGGTATCTTTGCCTCTGAGCTCAAGTCCCTCCACCCCCTGTGCTTGCTTTGGAGAAGAAGGGATGGCTCAGCATCATAAGGCCACAGACAACATAGTGTCTGTTAGTTTCTGAGCTGATTCCTCCCCCCGGGAGGGGGCAGAATGGGCTCACCCAAAGCTACCACCAAGGACATGAATTATCGCTCTTTGCGTGTTGGCTAAGGGAAGGGCTTTGCTTGCCAACCGCTTCACCCCTGCTCAAGGCTAGAACCTATGCAGAAACACTGTGTTCCAGGCAGGCTGTACACTTCCACCAGCATAACTGGAGCCCACTTTTTTCAGCGGAGAGGGGAATATTGGGCGATTTGAGAATCACTTGGTTCCACCAGTGCTTTCCTGATGCAGTGGGGTATCTTGATATTGGAAGAAAAACCCCTCCTCCTCCTCCTCCGCCTCTCCCACACTTCCCAGTTTGACTCCTGCAAGTCCATGCGTGGAGAACCTGCTTTTAGAAACAGCTGGCTACACTTGCCTGAAAGCTGGAAGTGAGTTTTGAAAGCTGTACTGAATCCTGCGTATTTGGGGCTCAGTTCCTGACCTCTTTCGATATTCGGTGCCTAAATATTTAGCCCTTGCTTGCTGTGTTAGTTAGGGTTACAGGTGTGTGCCAGTAATAATGCTGTGATGTCCCTGCTTATAAAGAGGGTACTGCAGTTGCTAATTGTGTGAATTGTAAGTTGTGAAGCTCCATAGTCGAATTTTGTATCAGCTGTGAACTCGCTTCATGTAGGGAAGATGCTAACTCTCAGCCACAGTCTCTCTCTCTCTTAAAATATGGTGATAATAAGACTGATCTGCCTTTCGAGATCCTTATAGGAATTCCTGAGGGAGTTATAGAAAGCTTTTTGAATTACGTTTTTTAATTACTTAGAGTAAAATAAAAAAATAAGGGGAGAAGGGAAATTGCCTCAGAGAAGTGTTTATGGTATTTGAGTTATGTTACCAGACGGTATATGTGTACAGCATACATTTTCTGAGAGCTCTGGCGTTAAAAACACTTGCAATTCCTCCTTCTTCATGCCTAGATTTTGTTCTTAAAAATGCAACATAGCAGGGCAAATCTTTTGGAGGCAGTGGTTAACAAGGCTTAGCATGGTGTGGTAGAAGTTCATATGACTTAAATTGTTTTGAAAACTGAGGAAGCTGCGCAGCTCTCTGGTAGCCTCTCTTTATTGAAGAGGAAAGATTATAATGAACATTGTATTTTGCCATGTGCACTGCCATTGTTTTTAAAGAAAACATATAGTCCAGGGCGGGGGGGGGGGTGTCACAAGATTATGGCTCATTTTAGGATTTCCACTCTCATGTTTCGGTCCCCTAAAGGCTTCTTGTATTATCATGTAAAAGCAAAAAATGTAACTTTATTTTTACCAAATTTCCCTGCCCCAAATATCCCAGTGTTTATTATATTTTGTAAAATGAAGCATTTCAGCTTTTGCTAAGGCAGAGCCTTCAGAATGAAATAGCACCCAGATCAGATAGCAATATATACCCAGTTCTTTCCAGATACAAAACAAGCTAAGCTGTACTTTGCTCAGTAAAAGCAGCAATTACTTAATGCTTTCATGGTCTCCCACTCTTTTCCTCTGCCCCCCCTCCATTCCCCCTCCCAGTGCCACAGATGCTTCACAGTCTGTCCTCTTTTCTTCTGGGCACAGCATACGGATTTTTTCAAAATACAACTCAAATTTTTGATGTGTGTGTTGTACTATTAAAAGCATAATTTAGACATTCATGACGGTTTACTACCAGCACAAAACAATGGTGTGCTGGAACCAACCAAGACTGTGAAAATGTTGTTTAACAGCTTCTATAATGCAATGTACCAAAAAAAAATTGGGTGCTTTCTTTTTTTGGAGCTGGGGTGGGGGGTGGGGGTGGGGTGGAAGTAAGCAGCTACTCTACCCTTACAAATCATGCCAACAGTAGCCAAAGCAGTATATGGTGAAATTAAGGTTGAAATAAGGTTTTACTGGAAGAACTAAGCCCCTCTGCTCTTTTTCAGAGGATGGTTGGAACAGGGTGAGCTTTATTCCCTAATCAGGGAATAAAAATCAGAAACATATCTTGTAATCCTGTTATAATGGAAGGGGTAAATAACATTGTCACCTTTTTTGCAACACTTTTCTATTTATTTAGAGGTGTCAAGTATGGTCATGTAGTTTACAGCAAAGGAAGTCGATATAAAACACAATACGCAAGAACATTAAAATAATTCTCAACAATAACTAAACAATTAGCAATATCATAATATAAAAATGGCTTGGGGAAACAGAAGGAAATGTAGCTATACTGAACACTTAATGGCCTTATAGCATTGTAAGCTAAGAAATGCACAAACCTTTTCTGCCCACAAACCATCTTTGCAATGCCAGTTCCATCTATTATAGGAGGCCTTCAATTAACCATAGTTTCTTTTTTTCTTCTGAACCAAGAAACTATAGTTACTAAGTTTGGAACAAGCCAGCATCTTAAACCATTTTAAGAGCGACTCACCTGGCACCTTCGTGACATATCTTTAGGCGGCAGGCAAAAACATTCCTCTTTTCCCAGGTCTTTGGCTAATTAGACAATCTGTGGCCTTTTAAACTGTGGGGGGAGTTTTATTGTTTTTGTTTGTTACTGTACTGTGTATTTTTGTATTGTAAACCACCCTGTGGTGTTTGGATGAAGGGCAATATGGAAAGTAAGTAAGTAAATACTCTCCTAGTTTGAAAGTAACAAGAAGCGGTGGTTAATTGAAGGGTTCTGGGGTTATGGCATGCCAAGAAGGTCAAATGAGGTCAACAATACATTATCAAAATACACATATGCAAGAACAACACTGGTTTTCGGAAGGACTCACATATATATTAGATTGTTTAAATATATGAAGAAGTCAACATAAATGGAGGGAAATTAACACTTTTTTTAATCGCCAATTTTCAGTAAAATATTCAATTGTAAGGTAAAGTATATAATCTGGATCAAGAGGACAGTTGTCATACTTTAGTCCCAAATAAGTCAGTGGAACAAGTTAGTCATGACCAACTTTGGCCCCATTGATTTAAATTGGATTAAAGTATGTCAGGCTTTCTCTGGATCCAGTCTATTGTCTGCATTGTGGAATGATGGACATTGAATTATGGCTAAACTTCGTACATGACGGTTTTTCATTTAAGAATGAATGTGCCTGTGCAGTATCTTAGCTTTTGTGTTGTTGCTTTTGTTGCATTGTAGCGTGGTGCTGACTTCCATGTGTGAAGAAGCTACTGCAAAAGAGAACATTTATCTAATCTAATGTTTTTCAAAGGCAAGGGTTCCAACAACTGGGTGAGAGTCTTAAAGGGATGGAAAATCTGTTGTTGTAAATGAAGGCGAATTGGCCCCAAATCCATTGACATTTGGATTAAGTCCAGTCCCATTGCTTTGAGTCAGATTGAAGCCTAATCCTATGCATGTTTCCTCAGAAGAGACATTGCATTCCAAACATACATAAAGTAAAATTAATAGGACTTTTTAAATAATAATAATAATAATAATAATAATAATAATAATAATAAAAATTGTTTATAGTTTTGGACTGCTAGAGCTTTTCCACACTCATTAATTGTGCAGCTGCAACAGTGCAGCTGCAACAGTGTAAATAAATAAGGGACGCGGGTAAATAAGGGACGCGGGTGGCGCTGTGGTCTAAACCACAAAGCCTAGGGCTTGCTGATCAGAAGGTTGGCTGTTCGAATCCCTGCGACGGGGTGAGCTCCCGTCGCTCGGTCCCAGCTCCTGCCAACCTAGCAGTTCGAAAGCACGTCAAAGAACAAGTGGATAAATAGGTACCGCTCCGGTGGGAAGGTAAACGGCGTTTCCGTGCGCTGCTCTGGTTCACCAGAAGTGGCTTAGTCATGCTGGCTTAGTACGCCAGCTCCCTCGGCCAATAAAGCGAGATGAGCGCCGCAACCCCAGAGTCGGTCACGACTGGACCTAACGGTCAGGGGTCCCTTTACCTTTACCTTACCAGTGTAAATGGGATATACATTATCTCTCAACACCGGGCGCATGCCTTAAATATAGGTAGAGAAAACATCAAGGTTTTTTGAGCTGCACAACGCTGCATTTCTAAAAGGAGTGCGGTTGTGGGTCAAACGTTTGTGGAGCTCACTTCAAATCCCAGATGTGATGAGGGGGCTCATGTGTTTTTTTTTAGTGTTGGTGAGAAAAGGTGCTCTGCACAAATTTGGCCTTGGCCACTCTTTCATGTATTGTAATACGTAGTGGAACTATGACTGCTGCACCCCTCTCTAGCAGGAGGTGGGTCAAGTGAGTGATACAGCTCTACCGTGCTGACCAGTGCTGCAAATACGGTTGAGATACCTCTGCTGCCATTTGGCCAACACTTTCCTTTATTGGAAGCCTTTATTGTGTGTTCCTTTTAGGAGGAAGAAACTGACTGGTGCTCAGATAGATGGGAAAATGCCTTGGGTTCATCCTAAGCGCTTTGATCTGAGTCTGAATGATATAGAACTGATTTGGAATCCACACAGAGTCTCTTTAACTCAGGAATTTCCAGATTATGTCATCCTCTAAATCAAGAAAACAGCCATCAAGAATGCCATCACTTCTGCCTATGATTCAAAGGAAAGCAAGCAAGAGAAGGACTAGGGCTACAGAATGATTTAATCTGTTTTTCAAAGAAATCCAGGAAAGCACAGACCATTCTGCTTGCTGAGGATGACAGTGAAGGGTGTGGCAGCCAGCCAGCCATCTATTTTACATTGAAAAGGAGGCATTGAGCTGGCACTGTTGTTTCCCCAGCTGAAAGGAGACACATATTGGGAGGTGTTAAAAAAATAGGGATGCTCGAGGAATTCAGTATCTGTGAATTCTGATGCAAACCAGCCTGATCTGTGCTTCCCAGACTAATGTGCAGATCAGAATGTAATTATACTTTGGATTTCACACCTCTCTGAATTGTGTAACCTAGTTCTCGGCTCAAAAATATAGCAAAATGCATTTTAGAATGTGTATTTTCCAATAAAATATGTTCATAATGGTATGCATTGAGATTTAAAATGCATATTTAAATAAGTACTTCAGCATGAATATTTGTGCAGATTTTTCTTAAAAATCAAATCGTGGAATGAAGGAGGTGGGATAGACTTTTGAATGAACACATGCAAAACTGACATAGACTGTAAACAGACTGGCCTGTGATGGCAATAGTCTCTTCTTCCGTAATATGACTTGCCTTACATTCCTACAGACCACAGCGCCACCCGCGTCCCTGAACCCCTGAGCTTCTTGGGCTTGCTGATTGGAAGGTTGGTGGTTTGAACCTGTGCGATGGGATAAGCTTCCGTTGCTGTCCCAGCTTCTGCCAACCTAGCAGTTTGAAAGCACACTAGATAATTAGGTACTGCTGTGGTGGGAAGGTAAATGGCGTTTCCATGCACTCTGGCACTCGTCACAGTGTCCCGTTGCACCAGAAGTGGTTTAGTCATGTTGGGCA